ATAACATTAAAATGTGGTCTATCTGTGAAGTTCCAACACAATGCTGACAAGTACATCCATCCTATCACTCTTATTTCTGCAAGGCCGATACAACCAAAATAATCCTAATCACATTCTTGCTGCAAGGGATACTGATGGGCAGCCTCACGTGCAGGCCATGCTTTTTCATCTACATTATTATTATTTTTTTTTACTTTGTTTATTATTATTATTATTTATATCATTATTATATTATATTTATATCATTATTTATATATTTATAATATATATAAATATTTATATGTTATTTATATAATTATTTATATAATAATTATTATTTTTTTTAGCCTTCAAAGACTCACACAATCTGCCGAGCAAAAAGAAAAAGAAGCAACAGGAACCCCCTCAACCCCCCGCTGTGAAAAGACAGCATCCATATTCATGTCATCAACCTCATCTACAGGCTAATTATTCACCAAATCCTGCTCACCTCACCCTGACCCCTATTTCCAGCTGCCAACTAGACATCAGGGGAACGTCCCAGAAGATCTTCATACAATAAATCATAAAATCAAATTTGTCATCTGCCTCCTCATCACCCGAATTTGTTCCTCTTTCTGTACTCTGTACTTTGTTCCAACTTTCATTCAGTAAATATTTACTGGATGTCTCCTGGGGACAGGCACTGTCCCATAGCGGGGACTCCGGCAAAGAGCACACAGACATGCAGTCTGCCTGTGTGAGCTGCAGTCACTCGAGCCTAAACACGGGCTTCATCTTAAGAGCCATCTTCTTCATTCACCTCTGCATCCTGCTTCAGTCACTCACCAGGTCCTGTTAGTTTCTCCTCCAACAATTCAAGCCCTCATTGTCATCTGCCTAGCCAATCTCCTTCCCTCCCTCAGTTCATCTTCCTAACACCCCTCTCTTCCGGTAGCTTCTCCACTTGTATGCCGCCACCAGCAGTTCACAAGTTTAAAGGCTGACGTCTCAACTGCTCGGGTGGGTACTCAAGACCTTTCTGAAGCAGCCCCAACTTGCCTTTCTGGCCACATCTCCAGCACATTGCCACCACTATCCTCTGGATTACTGCTGACCTCTCAACACATCCCACAACCTCCCACAACTCCACAGCATTGCTCGAGCTGCTGCCCTTTGCCTGGATACCATTTCCTCAGTCGCCTTGCAGCAAGCTCAGCTTGACCCCAACTTGCTCTATAAAGCTTCCCAGCTTGTTAACGAAAGCACACCTGCCCTTCTACCGAGCTCAGATGCATTCTTCACATGCCTGACCCTCCTACTGGACAGCTCCATGACAGTGGGAGACCTGCCACTCTCATTAACTTTTGTCACCTTCGTGTGGAACACAGTTCAACTCAAAGGAGATACTCACTGAAGTATCTCCTGAATGAATAAATGAAAGAAGGTCCTGTCACAGTCAAATCTTGCTGCTTACATGGCCCACAGTGCTGATGGGAGACCAGACTAACCCTGTCTCCCTGCCCCAAGTGACCTGAGTGGGCTGGGCAAGTAATATGAATGAACAAAACGCCCAGATATTTGTTCATTAAGCATGGAAGAATTCTCTTCATTTCTACTAGGGTCTCCCGGGAGAGGCTTTCTCAGTCTGCCTTTTATTTTCCACCTTTGATAGAGACTCAGATATAGAGAAACATTTCTCTCTTACCACAAACAGCAATGCACACGTATGACAAATGACAGACTCTGCCTTGGTTTCTGAGAGAAGACAGGAAGTGGGGGACAGGGCGGCTGGCCAGAGCTCCAGCTAGCTGCTGTCATGAGAGACTGCAGGCCCAGGCTGACCAGAGCTTCTGACTTTGCAAGGGAAACCTAGATTTTTATGTGAAATCTCAATTTTTAAAAAAATGCTAGGTCTGACTAGCTGGTTAGCTCACTTAGGAGGAGCATGGTGCTGGCACCAAAGTCATAGGTTCAGAATCCCATACCGACCAGCCACCAAAAAAAAAAAAAAGAGAGAGAGAAAAGAAAAAATGCTAGGTCAAATGTATTTAACAGGCAAAGTCTGACCCACAAGCCTTCAGTTTGTAACCTCTGCTTTATAGGGACATGGGCATGCAATATATATCCAGCAATGGGAAGGATATTGCCTCCTCCTCTGAACAAAGAGATCAGAGACTAGAGCATCACCAGTGCAGCACGGGTGGCTGTGATGAGACTGTAGACCATGTCCCTTTGGGGACTAATTACTAGTACCCAAAAAACTTGACTTCAAATTTTAAGTTTTAAGTGCTATGGTTTAACCTAGGGCAATCTTATTTTCCTCACATTTTCAGTGCTGGCTTTTTCTAACTTCCACTGAAGGCTGTTTGGATCAGACTGGATACAGTGCCCTTCCACGCTTTCTTCACTTTATCTCTGCCTCTACTCCTGTGCCCAAGGACAGAGCAGGCCAATAATTGCTTTTCTCCACATGTCGTCTCACCTCCTTCTCACTACAGTCACTCTGTTATTTCAGTAGAAACCACTGGGAACAAAATTACAAGCTTTATTACGTAGGTAAATCTAAATGCCAAGATCTGCCATTTCATATGAACTTTGATAGCAGGTCCTAGAACAACCCCAGGGGAAAATAGAAGTCAGTCAAGACCAAGAATTTAAATGAAGGACTGAGCAGTTTCTCATTCTGTAAAACAAAGGAAAATCCCACTTGTTTCAAGTCCATAACAGGACTCTGGGTTGCAATTTGTTAATCTACAATTGCCAAAGATCTCCCAGCCGCAGTACAGATCCAATTCTGCCCAGCACATGGAAGCCCCCGGGCTTACCAGTTCTTCTCGCAGCTTTGCTAGTGTCTCTATCTGGTTACTCCGCGTGCTCAGCACAACTGAAAGCTTCTCCATGAGGATGTCATATTTGCTCCTCCTGCAAGAAACACCAACCAGTTCATTTTTTCAAATCTATTGCTAAAGACTGCCAGCTTTTTATCAGCACCATGCTCTAACCAACTGAGCTAACTGGTCAGCCCTCTGCCTGTTTTTTAAAGATAACTAGGCAACCAGCCAGCCACCAGAAAAAAAAAAGAAAGATAACAAGGCAGTACTTAACTGACAACACAGCAAATACAGAACCTTAGTCTTAGGTCTCAAAGATCATCCAGCCCAACTCCCACATTTTGCAGCTGGAGAGACTGTGTCTCTGAGCAGCTTAGTCACATGTCCAAGGTCATCTGACTAGTGGCAGTATACAGACTATACTGTAGGGCTAAAACTTTAATGATTCTTTAAAATGCCTTACATTTTTATAATAGTTTAAAATTTAGGAAGCATCTCATATATTTCTTCATAAATGACTTGGTGAAAAAGGATGGGGGCTATTTCATAAAGAAGTTAACAGGCTATCCAAAATTCAGACCCAAGAAGATCTAGGTCTTCTTCCTCTGAATCCAGTACTCTCTCTACCTAGTGACACCTCTCTGATTCTGAAGCCCTGGTTTCTATCTCTAACTTCACTGGCCTAACTGATCCCACCTTCCGTCTCACTTCTGCTGTGACGTGGAAGTCGTGATAAATACTTCCAAGCTAATGGCCACCAAAAGAAGCTATTAAAAAGAGCTGAGGCCTCTTGGCTGTGTGTTGAGGGGAGGCTGGGGGACAGGCACAGGGAGGATCTGCAGCCAGCTGAGCTGGACAAGGACAGTTTGGCTTGACCCACAGTCCGGGGGAAGGATAACACATGTATGGGATCCCCAAACTGCACACACTTCTCCATGTGTATTGCCTTTCAATGAATGAAAGAAGAAATGAAGGGCCAGAGACTTACTGCACATGAGCTACCATGTATAGGAAGCAATGTGTCACGGCTTGGCTTGACCCACAGTCCGGGGGAAGGATAACACATGTATGGGATCCCAAAACTGCACACACTTCTCCATGTGTATTGCCTTTCAATGAATGAAAGAAAAAATGAAGGGCCAGAGACTTACTGCACATGAGCTACCATGTATAGGAAGCAATGTGTCACGGCCATCTTATACAAGAGGGAAAAGTGGTTCAAAGAGGTCAAGTGACCATGTTCAAGTAAGAGAAAAGACTGAAATACAGATCTTGACTTAATCCATTGTTCTCTCACCTACTCTATGGCTGCCACGCTATGTTCTTTGTAGATCAGTGGCTATACACCAGTTATGAGTTTGGTGATACATTTAATTTAACTAATGGACAGTAGGACTAATTAAAATGTCAATTCTGGAAAACATGACTCTCTCCAATATGGTATTTCCAAAACATAGGTTAAAGGACAAATTAGGAGGTCAGGGCATTTTGACAGTGTACAGGTTTGAAGACCAATCAGGACTACAAGACATTTGACAGGAGTACAGAGGTGATTTTCACTCCTGGAAATCCAGTCAATAGACAGACAATCTACACACATGTATCAAGCACTTTCTCTAGGCCAAGCCACATGCAATGTAGTAGGCAAAGTAAACTTTAAACTTACACTTAATACTCAGTGTTTACTCACTTTCCTTTTAGAGGGTGCACCTGCCACTGGGGCAAAAAGCAGGGACTCTGCCAACTGGACAAAGTAAACTTTAAACTTACACTTAATACTCAGTGTTTACTCCCTTTCCTTTTAGAGGGTGCACCTGCCACTGGGGCAAAAAGCAGGGACTCTGCCAACTGGACAGGGGAGAATCACAGAATCCAGGGACGGGTATGCCCACCTGCCCCCAACTATCCCTGGGTACTGCCCATTCCACTACAGAGTGCTAGTGGGCAGGCACTTGGGGGCTCAAAGCTTACTCACACAAGGGCTGCTTTTCTTAGGTCCTGCATCTGCTTGACCTTTCCCAATCTGGCTTTTACCCCTCCCACAAGCATGGGGCTATCGCATATAGGCTGAGACCTCTGCAGGGTGGTGGAACATTTCTTTCCCCCATTCCTTTCTCTTTATTTTTGGGTGGCTGGCCAGTACAGGGATCCAAACCCTTGACCTTGGTGTTATCAATACTGCACTCTAACCAATTGAGCTAACTGGCCAGCTCCCTCTTCCCCCATTCCTACACCAGGTAATTAGTCACCCCAATAGCAAGGATTAAAGAGTCAGAGATAACCTACTCACTCCCAGAGACTCCCTGCTCCTCAGAAGGGAATGTGCATATTTTACCAGCTTGCTGTATTGTGTTGACTGTGTCACCCAGCTAGAATACCAACATCAAGCACTGTAATCATTTAGCAGAACCTCACCATTTCTTCCATGTAAGTTGACTAATAAGGTTGTGTGATGCAAAAACATCGGATTTGAAATTGACATAATTCAACCACATCTATGCCACCATAACAAATCAAATTTGACTTATTTACTTTTATTTTTACACCCCCCAAAATTTCACCAAATGTTAACAGTTCCAATTGTCGGGCTGTGGGGTTATAAGTACTTTTGTGCCTTTCTTGTCTGTATAATTTCCAGGTTTTCTAAATGAACAGGACTTATTTTCATCAAAAACAGATAATATTTTTTTTAAAAAGTGATAGTCATATTCTGATTTGGCCTTATCTTTTTTGGTTGTTTTTTTTTTTTTTTGTATTTTTTAATTGTTTATCAAGAGGAAACTATTCCTTAGCCCACATATTCATGTTTCGTAGATCAGGAACACAGGTCAGTGACAAACTTCAATGAAACTCTATCCAGAGAAATTCTTTGCATCCCAAAACCACTTTGCACTTTGAAAGATATCAGCCTCCCTCATCTCCTCAAAAATCTTTCAAGGAATCATAATCTCTGCAGAAATCTGCATATGCCTTCTTTCCTGGTTCAGCCACAGCAAACTTATAGAGAGCTGCAAGCCTCAGAGACACAATGAATGCTCCACCAATATGAGATTGCAGATGCCTGGCTAGAAGGCCGTACATCTGACGTTCAGAGAAAGCACCGGAAGCCATCGTAGTTATTGTCCCTTGACACCAACGTCCTTCTTGGCTAATGGAGAAATGACCTGGCCTCTATGATTTTTAAAAGCAGGATACACGTGGCTGCACTATAAAAGGAACCAAATGCTTTGTTCTCTACAAACCATACCTGTCCACATGAAACCGATTCAGGAGGAGGAGAATCGAGTGCTGCTGGGCGCCAGTGGGTAATCGGATCACATGAGACTGCATTGTAATGAGCCCGTTTTTGTTTAAAATTTTCCTGTGATAGTGAAGCTTTCCAGCATCAACCCTGAAGGAGAAAAAGAGTGTGGGCCGTGTCACATTGCTCTGTTGGCAGCTTCAGCCCTGCAATGTACACAGTCTCTCACTTGAACGTAAACATCAGAGACACACACCTCCCATCCAGTCAACCTCAGGGAACAGTCACTGTGGGAGAGCGGCCTTGGAAAGAAAAGCCATGCCTCATGGAAGAGAAGTCAGCAGGCCCCTACATTTGGGCTGCAGGGTGCAATGACCAGTGAGCCAGTGATTTAATGTACACAGTCTCTCACTTGAACGTAAACATCAGAGACACACACCTCCCATCCAGTCAATCTCAGGGAACAGTCACTGTGGGAGAGCGGCCTTGGAAAGAAAAGCCATGCCTCATGGAAGTGAAGTCAGCAGGCCCCTACATTTGGGCTGCAGGGTGCAATGACCAGTGAGCCAGTGATTTAAAGCAGAGAGCATATGCTCCCCCTTACTTGAAAGCAGTGCTGTGAAGGTCTCGCTGCAGTTCCCCTTGCCACCGGGATCGGCCTAATCGCTCCAAGATGCAGTAGGAGAAGTCGGGGAGTTTCAGATCAGGGTCCCCCTCTGAGCCTATCAAGGCCCTGTAACGCATGGCCTGGGAGGCAACGATGATCAGTTTCTTCCCCCACCTGCAAATTGGGAACAACCACATGAATAAATAAGTTTAATTGATTTTAAGAAAATTGAAATACGAAAAAGTAGAACCTTTCAGAATCATCATTTTCTGCTGCTTCTCAGGAGTTCACAATACCCACAAAAGCTAAGCAAGTTTTCAGCGTCTTAGAACAGCACAGCGTGCTGAATGAACAGAGCCGAGCTTGTTACTTCCTTGCTTGAAGCCATCCCAGGGCTTACTGAGGCTATCACACCCATCCCAACTCCTGTCGTGACCTGAGAGTCCCTCCCGGCCTCAGTGATTTCACCTTCCATGACTCCGCTCCTCCCCCACGATCGTGTCCCAATTCCTAAAACAAGCCTCGGAGTCATTGCCCTGGCTGTTTCCTCTGTCCAGCTTTCTTCTCCTGAAGGTGACCAATTCCTTCTCATTACTCAGGTCACAGCCCACTGTCAACAACTCAGGTGTTCCAGAACATGCTAACTAGAGTTCCAGCCCTGCCCCAACCATCCCCATATCCTTCATAGCACTGAGTATTCTCAGAAACAGCCATATTTTTTTGCTGACATCCTTGCCTCCCTCATTCACATGTAAGTTCTGTAAGAGGAGGCACTTTGTCAACTTGTTCCCCAGACATCCTCAGTGCCTAGAACAATCTGAGTGCATAGAGGGGCTGTGCATATATTTGTTAAGTGAATGAACTAACCTAGTGCTCTGGACTGATAAAACAAACTGCAAAGTCAAAAACATTGAACTGTGTAATCAGTGGACCTGCAGTCCAATTTTGACCTTGAATAAATCACTAGTTATTTCTGCTGACTTGATTGTGTGAAAAATAATGCCTGAAAAAGAGGCCAAAAACATTTCCTCGCAAGGCATGTCAAGATGCCCCAAGTGAGAAGGCTCATCTCCTTGCTGAGGCCCACCAGTCTTCACTGTGCAGCCCTCACCTCTTACGGTTGAGATTCCACCTCAGTGCTCACCTGCTACATTCTGCTGATGCCTTGAGCCCACTGACAGCTCCATTCGTGCACACTCAGGGTCCAAGCCCTGGCCCAGAGTGAAGAGATCCCACAAGGATGGGCTGACAGAGAACCCATCCCTCACTCATGCCTTGGCCTCAATGGGAGGACCTCCCTTTTGTAATGAAAGAGTCCCCAAGGGTCCCCACATAAGCACCCACAGGCTACCAATCCCTCTCATCTGCAGCCAACGCCTGCTCTCCCCAGCCCTGTTGTTTACATGTGCCTGGTCACTAGGTCTATCTCAGTCTGACAGTTTTCCTTCCTCCTGTCCACAGCAGATGACTTTACTTCTACCACCCAGCAGGCAAAAAGAAAAAAGAAGCTGCCTTTGTTTTATCTGCACTTCCTTTACATTGTTTGTAACCTATAGTTAGTGTTCTGCGTAAGTCACAGAAGTCTGTAGTCTATCTTCAAAAGGAATCTTGGAAAAGAGTTCACTTTATGTGTCTGAATGACACAAACTTAAGGCCTACCACCACTTTTCTCAAAATAGGCTCATTAAGTTAAATTAAAAGAAGTCAGTTGGGAAAAAAAGCTTGAAAACAGGACAAAGGTTTGCTGCTTTATTTTATGGCTCAGATTAGTTTGCTGTCCTGTACTATCATAATTCCAATGTTTCTGTTAATTATTGCCAATTAGCTGTCTCACTAACTCCTGCCAGTTCTAATTTTCTGACTGTGGTCATCACATAGATTATCAAACAACAATAAAGTACTGTGCAAATTACCAGGATACCAAGATAAATAAAAATTATACCCACCTTCAAGGAGCTCACAGTTTACTGAAAAACAAGAAAATGAACAATTCCACTATGAGGTGCTAACTTCCCTGACTTAGAGAAGCTCTGGTTGTTGAGGCTGTGAAATAGTATATATGAGCAGCCCCAGTTCAAAGCTATGTGTATATAAACAGAGCGTG